TTGAAAGTGGGAGCAATTAGCTAGAGTAGCTCCATGCAGAGCATTGTTGACATAGAAATTTTCAAAATACTTACGGATCTGAATGTGGCAGACCCGTTGACTAAACTTCTCTCACAAGCAAAACATGATCACACCAGAGTACTCTTTGGGTGTTAATCACATAGCGATGTGAACTAGATTATTGACTCTAGTAAACCCTTTGGGTGTTGGTCACATGTCGATGTGAACTGTGGGTGTTAATCACATGGTGATATGAACTATTGATATTAAATCACATGGCGATGTGAACTAGATTATTGACTCTAGTGCAAGTGGGAGACTAAAGGAAATATGCCCTAGAGGCAATAATAAAGTTATTATTTATTTCCTTATATCATGATAAATGTTTATTATTCATGCTAGAATTGTATTAACCGGAAACATAATACATGTGTGAATACATAGACAAACAGAGTGTCACTAGTATGTCTCTACTTGACTAGCTCGTTGATCAAAGATGGTTATGTTTCCTAACCATAGACATGAGTTGTCATTTGATTAACGGGATCACATCATTAGGAGAATGATGTGATTGACTTGACCCATTCTGTTAGCATAGCACTTGATCGTTTAGTTTGTTGCTATTGCTTTCTTCATGACTTATACATGTTCCTATGACTATGAGATTATGCAACTCCCGTTTACCGGAGGAACACTTTGTGTGCCACCAAACGTCACAACGTAATTGGGTGATTATAAAGGTGCTCTACAGGTGTCTCCGAAGGTACTTGTTGGGTTGGCGTATTTCGAGATTAGGATTTGTCACTCCGATTGTCGGAGAGGTATCTCTGGGCCCTCTCGGTAATGCACATCACATAAGCCTTGCAAGCATTGCAACTAATAAGTTAGTTGCGGGATGATGTATTACGGAACGAGTAAAGAGACTTGCCCGTAACGAGATTGAACTGGGTATTGAGATACCAACGATCGAATCTCGGGCAAGTAACATACCGATGACAAAGGGAACAACGTATGTTGTTATGCGGTCTGACCGATAAAGATCTTCGTAGAATATGTGGGAGCCAATATGAGCATCCAGGTTCCGCTATTGGTTATTGACCGGAGACGTGTCTCGGTCATGTCTACATTATTCTCGAACCCGTGGGGTCCGCACGCTTAAGGTTTCGATGACAGTTATATTATGAGTTTATAAATTTTGATGTACGAAGGAGTTCGGAGTCCCGGATGAGATCGGGGACATGACAAGGAGTCTCGAAATGGTCGAGACGTAAAGATCGATATATTGGACGACTATATTCGGACATCGGAAAGGTTCCGAGTGATTCGGGTATTTTTCGGAGTATCGGAGAGTTACGGGAATACGTATTGGGCCTTATTGGGCCATACGGGAAAGAAGGAAAAGGGCCTCAAGGGTGGCCGCACCCCTCCCCTTGGTCTGGTCCGAATTGGACTAGGGAAGGGGGGCGCCCCCTTCCTTCCTTCTCCTTTTCCCTTCCTCTTTTCCTATTCCATATGGGAGGTGGAATCCTACTAGGACTAGGGAGTCCTAGTAGGACTCCACACTTGGCGTGCCCCCTCCTAGGGCCGCCCTCCTCCTCCCTTGCTCCTTTATATACGGGTGCAGGGGGGCACCCCAAAGACACAACAATTGATCATTGATCTTTTAGCCGTGTGCGGTGCCCCCTTCCACCATAATCCTCGATAATATTGTAGCGGTGCTTAGGCGAAGCCCTGCGACAGTAGAACATTAAGATCGTCACCACGTCGTCGTGCTGACGGAACTCTTCCCCGACATTCTACTGGATCGGAGTCCGGGGATCGTCATCGAGCTGAACGTGTGCTGAACTCGGAGGTGCCGTGCGTTCGGTACTTGATCGATTGGATCGTGAAGACGTACGCCTACATCAACCGCGTTGTGCTAACGCTTCCGCTTTCGGTCTACGAGGGTACGTGGACAACACTCTCCCCTCTCGTTGCTATGCATCACCATGTTCTTGCGTGTGCGTAGGAAATTTTTGAAATTACTATATTCCCCAACATACCCTACCCAGGTCGAGCTTGTTCTTGCATGTTGCATCATTCACAGCTGGATCCTGCAATGGGGAATTGATGAACTTGTGCCAGAGGAGGAAGATGTGACTCCTGATGAGGTGATCAGCTCCGGCCATGGTGTGAAGGTGTTTGACAACAAAGCATGAAAGAACAAAAGGTTGGAGTGGGATTGAGACAATGTGGGGTAACATAGGCCAGACAAGAATCTGAAGAAGAAGAAGAAAAAGAAGCACAACAACAACAGAAGAAGAGGAAGAGGAAGAGAATGAACTTCCACCTAGTTAGTATCATTGAACTTTCCCCTATTCAACCATATTGATTCTTAATAACTTGTACTGTTATTTGCTAGTAGTTAGGATAAACTGTCATTTATTTTCTAGTTAGGACAAAATAATGTTCAGTGTGTGTGGTAAGGTCAAAAGTGATGATCACATCTTTAGCCGTTTGCAACCAAATAACGGCGACACAGGCAATCAAACAGCGTGCTAACTAATTGCTCCTCTCATGCACGAAGCCTAATTCATGCAACCAAACTAAATGCATATATTGGTTTTTAGTCTAAGCTCAAACAGGCCCAACCAAGACAGGCATGCAAAATGCCCTGAAACAAAGATGTGAACCAAACGCACCCTTAGAGTTTAAAAAAAAACCGAACTAGAGGAAGGCAGTGTGCATCGAAGATCGATCTGAGTTGTCCATAAATCCCATCAGATAAGCCCATAATCAGGGGGCATGTCATCTTCAGCACACTCCAACCGCTAAACGCCCAAAACCCGTTCCCTACCTACGGGTCACCGATCACAATCGACACGGCCGGTGTCGGCCAGAGCATGGCAATGCACGCACCCGCCTCACTCACTCACCCACTCAGCAGCCCTACATGCAGCATACTACCATTCAGCACATAGCCCCGATCATCGATCTGTTGGTCGCGCAAGCAAGATGATCCGATCAGACAGATGAAAACGACAGAAAACATCCTCACTACATGTCCACACACGCCTCCTGGCCTGGCCCCTGCCGCCGCGGCCTGCTCTGTAGGAGTATATCATGTTCCGAGGGCTTTTCCGTCCGTCGCCAATTGGAGGGATCCGAGCCCGCGCTCCATCCAAAACGCGGATGATCGATCGACCGATCGCTTTGCGTGGTTTGCCCTTTACGTTTGTCGCGCTCAGTGGCCGCGTGCGTGGCAAGCCCACCACGTTGCGTGCTCCCCTTCTCTCCCGTTTCTCTTCCCTGCACCTGCAGGCCTGGTTGGTCAGCTCGCCCGATCGCCGATCCACAAACGAAAGCGACGCCCTCCATCTCCTGATACTCTGCGAGTGCTACTGCTGCTGGTGGTCGTCGTGGGCCGGTAATAGTGGAAGAGCAGAGTGGCAGTTATTATGGCTGTTACCCGAACGGCACTGAAAAAATGTAGTGTTATCTGAAAGGCTGCGCGAACTGGGTGGCTCCAAGTGTCTGCGCCGTGTCCTCGCCTGCCGTTCCCGTCGAGGCGAGGCAGCCGGTGGTGGTGGCGAAGGGCTGATCGGGATGTGGCCTGGGTTCATTGACGTGGTCAGGTTTTCCTCTTCCTGGCGACGCACGCAGGGATGCTGCTACGTAGCAGTGCCGTCCTTTGGACCGCTGAAAAATTCAGGTCAGGAAATCGTTTCTTTTGGTTTGCTGTGACTTTGGTTGGGCCGACGACGTGGCGGCAGCGTGGCCGGCATGTTTGGCCCCAGGCGTTTGGAGCCTGGGGTTTGAGCCGTCGTTCTCTGTCTATGGTGCCGTGCATGCCCCTGGCCCGCGGATCATCGCGTCCAGAAAAATGGAGTGCCATCCCCCCCCAGGAAAGTGACGGTGTAGGAGTAGGACCAGTAGTAAATCGCTCGTTCAAGATGTTTCCGGTCGATTCGTGTAAGCTTTGATGTGTACTTGTGGCAGGGAAAGATATTCAGTTGCTGCGTGCTGGTAGTATTAACTCGTTGAGGACTACTAATTTACGTGCCTGTCACGGCAAAAAAGGCAGAGGAGCACAATAGCCTGCCTTTTTTCCTCGCCTGATCAATCAATTAAGACAGCAACGTGTGAGATGAACTGCTACAGAAAAGTACTATTCCCTTCGTCTCATAATATAAGAATGTTTTTGACACTAGTGTAGTCGTAGTGTCAAAAACGTTCTTATATTATGGGACGGAAGGAGTAGTGCTGTACAGTAGTACTCTATCAACGAAACATCTAGTCATGTGTTTGCTACAGTCACTAGGCCTCTTTTGGTTCATATGATAGAATTATCGTAGGAATAAGAATTTTATAGGAAATGAGATGACATGTATCCCAAATTCTATGAGTAGGAATAGAAAATAAGATATCATTTAGTTGACACCAAAAGAATTTTTTCATTAAGTCTAGGCTCATTTTTATTTTCCTATGAAATGTGGAGGATAGGAACCAATCCTATGTAGGAATAGGAATCCATTCCTATGAATTAAAGGGGCTCTAAAGGAAAAAATTCTATAAAAATCCTATCCTCTCGAATTTTTATGAACCAAACGAGGCCTAAACTGTTACGGTATCATCTTCCGCTTCGTGATCCATCCCGGGGTCCCGACTCCTGAGTCCTGACTCGACAGCTGCGAAGTTTTAATTTTTTGAGGGGACCTGCGAAGTGGAGGCACGGGAGTAGATATTTGGGCTCAGTTATCAGAAATGTTTGGGCTCAGTTTTGTTTTGAGGCAATTTGGGCTCAGTCGAGAGAGACGTGTCATGGGCCCGTGAGGTTTGCTAGCCGTCCTTCCAAAACTCATGGGCCTAGCTACCAGGCCTCACCAGGCCCGCTTTCTTTCGTCGCAATCGCAAAGATACAACTTCCGCCCCTGCCGAGACGGCGGCGGAGAGAGACACAACCGAGCCGACCAAAGCGCCCGGGGAAACCCTAGGACGAGGAGAAGGGCGCGCGCGCAGCCATGGCCAAGGGCCGCAACAAGAACAAGGCCAAGAATGGCGCCGGCGCCGCCGCCATGGACGCCTCCGAGGGCGCGCCCGCTGCGTCCACCGCAGCAGAAGCCCCACAACGTAGTTTTTCTTTTGAGCCTTTGTCTTTCTTCATCGATTTGTTGGTTTTCCACTTCCCTTGACCCTGATTTGTTCCGTGTTTTTCCCCTTTCGCAGCGATGGATACGTCCGAGGGGAAGCAGCCGTCCTCTTCATCGGCTGCCCTCAGTTCGATCAACAGGTGAGCAAAAGGATTACGCTGATTACTTTTTATTCCCACTATTTATTTGTTGGAATCAATTCCTCAGGGTCGAGGTCAATCTTTATGAGTTCACTGACTTGGGAGCTCCGGTCCAAAAAAAAAACTGACTTGGGGGCAGTTTAAATTGGGGAATTTGAGTAACATCAGTAACATGTAATATGTCGGATGAGCTGAACACAGACTGATTAGTTTGACATTACCATTACGAAGAACACTGCATGAAGTTTATTGGATGATTCATACAGCGTTTCGTGTTTATGCATGAGGGCACACTTTTTTTGTAGAGCAGGCGCAAGCAAGCGATTGCACCTTCTTTTTCATTGAGGGAAGGAGGAAAATAGCTTGCAGAAGTTGAGCTGCTAGTGCCGAGATCAAAAGGTCCATGCTGGACCATAGATCGAGCAATGTTATAGCATAACAAATAACGCGAACACCCTAGCCACTCCTCGCAGCGCTGCATGCTACCAATAGTTGAAAGCCTGCACTACCACTCTGCTTCATCATTGATTTTGTTCGGCACCGCAGCATCGAGGGCATGATTGATTAGAATAATGTAAAACATGTGCTACTTTGAAGACATTGTCGAGCATTACCTCTCATTTGTATGTGTAATCGAGTTGGCGATAGATAGTTTCAGATGTTTCAACACATGTTTTATCTACTATGCACTCCACTAATGTTGTTGCTCTGGCTAACTAGGATGGTTTGTCTGAAAATTGTATTCTACTACCTCTGTATCAAAATATAAGACGTTTTTGCAGTTCAATTTAAACTGCAAAACGTCTTATATTTTGGTACGGAGGGAGTACCTTACTTGAATTGAGCATTTTTTGCTTACGAAATACTTGGTATAATGCGTACCATCGATTGCTTTTGCGCCCCTCATCTGGTTGCTGTAATTGTACTGGCCAAACTGCAAACGTGCTATCTTGTGAGTTGTTCAAGTTACACCGCATTGTAACTTTTTGCATGGGAAAAGCTGTCGAGGGAAAAAAAAGTCGCTAGAGGTTAAAGTAATGCAAAAATAATAGGTGCTGACACTGACCATAGAGAGTTATTCGAACTTGCCTCTTAGCCCTGACCACATTTTGCGTTAATCCCTTAGATCAATTACTGAAATTTGTAAAGTTTGTCACCCTTCACTCGACAGCATCCTGGCAGCTTCTCATCAATTCCGATAATATAATTTGTTTCCGTGAATTATGCAAGTATTGATGACCTTTATCAACCCAAAGCCAGTTAAATCTTGTATTTATTCCGTAGCTTTTCACTAGTAGATCCTGAGGATTAAGGGTCTCGGATAAACTGCTGTTTTGCTTCATCTTTTGGCATTAGCTATTAATGAACAAATATACAAGCATAACAGGAAGGGTCCTAGAATTGGTAAATATTTTTTTAACACTGTAGATTGTCCATAACGTTTTCTAGGATAGCTGTTCAACTGGAATACATAAAGTAAATATGTCCCTGGTATTACATCGTCCTAATGCATCAGATGTTTAAAGCTAAGATCAGATATTTAAATTGTCAAACTCTTTTTCTCATTGTCAGACCATGATTAGGGTTTCCTATTAAAGTTGTGTGGAATGCCACTAAAATGTGGACAAAATTAGGGTTCTATGTTATTCTTTATTCTCCTAGCTCCTCCAAGGCTGTTCCCTGATATGCTCCTGAAAGTGAATTAGTGAACCCAAGTATGCTCTTGTGCTTTCCTTCTGTTATTATGGCTTACCTGTTACCCTTGGAGTGTGTTCTGTTTCTTCCAGGACACATATTCTTGGCATATGCATAATGATGAATCTCTTTTTTTTTTACCTGATCACCTTTCTCTTTAACCAGGAAAATAAAAAAGGGCGTGCAACCTAAAAGGACAAAAAATGTGAGGAAAATGAAAGCAGTTGCCAGGGCCATTTCTAAAACTGAGAAGTCCGAGGAGAAGGTCCTGAAAGCAAAAAGCAAGAAGTCAAGGATTCAGTCTGCCAAGTCTTTGTATGATTAAAGTTTCAGTGGTTAGCATAATTTTGTGTACTAGTATGTTTCCACCTGTAGATCAACCAAATCTATGTGTTTCAAGAAAACCTGCTTTGCCTCTAAAGATTAACACTACCTGCTTCTTTACAACTCTTAAGAGATGACATGTTATGACGCCTGGTATTGGTTAGTACAGTAGGAACGATGAGGTTTTTCATCACATTCTTTGATATCAATCATTGCAAAGTTGGAAGGTAAATTATAGTGCCATCGTAGCAACAAATTTAAGTCTTATTCTTTAGATTGCACCGCTAAGCAAATCCTTCAGAATCAGAAGGTAAAAATTGGTGTGTTGATGGCTCCTGGCACCAACAAAAAATCCTCGATTTGATGTGGGGGAAAAAGTCGTTGATTTGATATAGAGCATATTCTGTGTTCTTATGGCAACAGAATGTCAAGCAAAATAAGGCACCATCTAGAGCATTGCAGGCCAATGCGGATCGTTCGTTCATCATTTTTTTTTGGGCGTCGTTCATTCATCAGGTTAGCTCTGCAGCCACCAAATAGTTCACTAATGAAGACGATATTCCTTTCTACTGCCATCAAACGTCACCCCAGGTGCTTCAGCTGATCGGCGCAATTGAATAGGCCGCAAAGCGCAGCAAATATGGCCTTTCCATTGTGGTAACGCTATGGATGTAAATGGCGCGGTAAACGGTGCTGCAAGGCCTGTTTAGTTAGCTCAATAGTTCATTTCTCTGGAGAAAATTAACTTTCTCAAACTGTTAGACCGATAAATGGGCTTAAACATCGCCGTTTAGGCCGTGAAGCCACGCAGTGCCATGCCGGCACCCGCCTCTCCCGTCTCCTGAACAAACGATTCATCTACATTAAGCTTTGCTTCTTTTTTTTTGAAACAAGACAAAAGATTTACCATTTCATTAATTAAGAGAGAGTTGTAACAGAGTCCTAAGACAACAACCATACAATGGCAAAGATAAAGCATACATCAAGCCCTTTGGCATCCGCCAAAGCCCACAGGACTGCCTCATCCATGATTTTTTCTACGAGAATTATCAAAGGTGCGGAAACATTCCGGAAGACCCTAGCATTCCTCTTCTTCCAAAGTTCCCAAGAGATAAGCATAAGGAGGGTGGCCATCCCTTTTCCGTTAGGCGAGCGTGTAAGCACAATCTCAGTCCACCAATGTCTGACACTTTGCATAGCCACCCAGTCAGCTGTGACAATATTGCTCAGTCCGGTCCTCGCCTTTACCGCATTCCAAACTACAATCGAGAATTGGCATGGGAATAGGAGATGCGCCGCTGACTCCTGGACTTGGCTACAAAGGGGACACAAACCGCAGTTTGGCCACCCTCTCCGTTTGTAGCCTATTTGTCGTCCATACTCTGTTGTGAATGATCAACCAAGCGAAGAACTTGCATTTTGGTGTAGCCCGGACTTTCCAAACGGTCTTTAGAAGTGGTGTGGAGGTGCGCCCCTCCAACTGTAGCGAATAGGCCGATGAAGTGCAATAGATACCGTGCTCTGTAAGTTTCCAAATGATCGTGCCATTCGTGGCTTGATCTAAGGTTATCCCATCCAACTTCTCCCAAAGGATGGTAAACTCCTGTATGTGCCCGGCGGTAATGCCATTTGCCATGTCAACTTGCGAAATCCATACATCATTAGTGAGGGCCTTCCTGACAGAGCAATCTTTCTTTTTGGAGACTTTGCTTTCATTCTCCTGGCTGGTCATATGGGATGGTATTGCGTGTGTGCCAAATGCGTCCGATGTTCAACACCGTAGTTCGCTGCACCTCAGGTATACTGGCTGGATCGGAGTCCGGGGATCGTCATCGAGCTGAACGTGTGCTAGAACTCGGAGGTGCCGTAGTTTCGGTGCTTGATCGGTCGGGCCGTGAAGATGTACGACTACATCAACCAAGTTAACGCTTCCGTTGTCGATCTACAAGGGTACGTAGATCACAATCTCCCCTCTCGTTGCTATGCATCACCATGATCTTGCGTGTGCGTAGGAATTTTTTTGAAATTACTACGTTCCCCAACACAATCTTGTATCTTCATAGTCCAACAGTCCGGCCAAAGGATACAGTCTGGCTATCCGGAGACCCCCTAATCCAGGACTCCCTCAACACCCCTGCAGGGTTTTGAACTTTCGAAAGCCGTGCCCGCGGTTATGGGCAGATGGGAATTTGTTAATATCCGGTTGTAGAGAACTTGAAACTTAACTTAATTAAAATGAACCAACCGCGTGTGTAACCGTGATGGTCTCTTTTCGGCGGAGTCCGGGAAGAGAACACAGTCTCGTGTTATGCTTGAACGTAAGTAGTTTCAGGATCACTTCTTGATCTTTATAGCTTCTCGACCGTGCTTTGCTTCTCTTCTCGCTCTCATTTGCATAAGTTAGCCACATATATGCTAGTGCTTGCTGCAGCTCCAGCTCACTACCCCTTCCCTACCTTAAGCTTAAATAGTCTTGATCGCGAGGGTGTGAGATTGTTGAGTCCCCGTGACTCACAGATTACCTCAAAACAGATGCAGGTGCCGATGATGCCAGTGCAGGGGACGCGGCCGAACTCAAGTGGGAGTTCGACGAGGATTCGGGACGTTACTATGTGTCTTTTCCGGACGATCAATAGAGGATCCCAGTTGGGGCGATCGGGGATCTAGCATTTGGGGTTGTCTTTCTTTATTTTGGTTCCGTAGTAGGACCTTGATTGTATTCTGGATGATGTATGCTATATTTATGTATTGTGTGAAGTGGCGATTATAAGCCAACTCTTTATCCCTTTCTTATTCAGTACATGGGATGTGTAAAGATTACCCCTCTTGCAACATGCCTACTATGCGGTTATGCCTCTAAGTCGTGCTCCGACACGTGGGAGATATAGCCGCATCGTGGGTGTTACACCTACTCCCACCGGGAGTAGGACTCCCCCCTTTCCATGTTGGAGTAGGAGAGGAGAGGGAAGGAGAAAGAGGGAGAAAGGAAAGGGGGGTGCCGCCCCCATTCCTAGTCCAATTCGGACTTGGGAGGGGAGGGGCGCGCGGCTGCCCCTTGGCCGCCTCTCCTATTCCACCAATTGGGCCCATGAGGCCCAATAACCTCCGGGGGGTTCCGGTAACCCCCCGGTACTCCGGTATATATCCGATAACCCCCGGAACCATTCCGGTGTCCGAATATAGCCGTCCAATATATCAATCTTCATGTCTCGACCATTTCGAGACTCCTCGTCATGTCCGTGATCACATCCGGGACTCTGAACTTCCTTCGGTACATCAAAACACATAAACTCATAATATAACCGTCATCGAACTTTAAGCGTGCGAACCCTACGGGTTCGAGAACTATGTAGACATGACCGAGACATGTCTCCGGTCAATAACCAATAGCAGAACCTGGATGCTCATATTGGCTCCTACATATTGTACGAAGATCTTTATCGGTCAAACCGCATAACAACATACGTTGTTCCCTTTGTCATCGGTATGTTACTTGCCCGAGATTCGATTGTTGGTATCTCAATACCTAGTTCAATCTCGTTACCGGCAAGTCTCTTTACTCGTTCTGTAATACATCATCCCGCAACTAACTCATTAGTTGCAATGCTTGCAAGGCTTAAGTGATGTGCATTACCGAGAGGGCCCAGAGATACCTCTCCGACAATCGGAGTGACAAATCCTAATCTCGAAATACGCCAACCCAACATGTACCTTTGGAGACACCTGTAGAGCTCCTTTATAATCACCCAGTTACATTTTGACGTTTGGTAGCACACAAAGTGTTCCTCTGGCAAACGGGAGTTTCATAATCTCATAGTCATAGGAACATGTATAAGTCATGAAGAAAGCAATAGCAACATACTAAACGATCGGGTGCTAAGCTAATGGAATGGGTCATGTAAATCAGATCATTCAACTAATGATGTGATCCCGTTAATCAAATAACAACTCTTTGTCCATGGTTAGGAAACATAACCATCTTTGATTAACGAGCTAGTCAAGTAGAGGCATACTAGTGACACTCTGTTTGTCTATGTATTCACACATGTATTATGTTTCCGGTTAATACAATTCTAGCATGAATAATAAACTTTTATCATGATATAAGGAAATAAATAATAACTTTATTATTGCCTCTAGGGCATATTTCCTTCAGTCTCCCACTTGCACTAGAGTCAATAATCTAGATTACACAGTAATGATTCTAACACCCATGGAGCCTTGGTGCTGATCATGTTTTGCTCGTGGAAGAGGCTTAGTCAACGGGTCTGCAACATTCAGATCCGTATGTATCTTGCAAATCTCTATGTCTCCCACCTGGACTAGATCCCGGATGAAATTGAAGCGTCTCTTGATGTGCTTGGTTCTCTTGTGAAATCTGGATTCCTTCGCCAAGGCAATTGCACCAGTATTGTCACAAAAGATTTTCATTGGACCCGATGCACTAGGTATGACACCTAGATCGGATATGAACTCCTTCATTCGCTGCTTCCGAAGTAGCTATGTATTCCGCTTCACACGTAGATCCCGCCACGACGCTCTGTTTAGAACTGCACCAACTAATAGCTCCACCGTTTAATGTAAACACGTATCCGGTTTGCGATTTAGAATCGTCCGGATCAGTGTCAAAGCTTGCATCAACATAACCATTTACGATGAGCTCTTTGTCACCTCCATATACGAGAAACATATCCTTAGTCCTTTTCAGGTACTTCAGGATGTTCTTGACCGCTGTCCAGTGATCCACTCCTGGATTACTTTGGTACCTCCCTGGTAGACTTATAGCAAGGCACACATCAGGTCTGGTACACAGCATTGCATACATGATAGAGCCTATGGCTGAAGCATAGGGAACATCTTTCATTTTCTCTCTATCTTCTGCAGTGGTTGGGCATTGAGTCTGACTCAACTTCGCACCTTGTAACACAGGCAAGAACCCTTTCTTTGCTTGATCCATTTTGAACTTCTTCAAAATCTTGTCAAGGTATGTGCTTTGTGAAA